GAACAGGTTGAGGTCCCAGGTGGGGACAAGCTAACGGATGTGAGGGTACAGTCTGTCGAGTCCTTTTACAAATCAGCTGACCATAGGTTAGCAAACACCAAGCGGCCTCCCGCGCCCGGATGGAAGGCTGATATGGCAGCTAAGTGCACCCTTAATGAAGGCAACGAAAGCCCCTGCTGCTTCAGATGGAGGAGGTAGTCCAGAATGAGTGGCACTGAGGCTCATGTCAGGAACGAATGGCGCTGCGCCAGCCAGACTGAAAATCTCTTCCACTTGGCCAGGTGGGTGGCTCTCGTAGAGAGTTTCCTGCTGCCAAGGGGGACTTGTCTAACATGGTCTGAACAGGAAAGCTCCATCGGGTTCAACCACGGAGCTTCCATGCCGTGAGGTGAAGCGAGTCGCAGTTCGGATGTTGAAGATGACTGTGATCTTGCGTCAGAAGGTCCGGGAAGAGTGGAAGAGTGACCGGGGCTTTCACAGACATGTCTAGGAGAGATGTGTACAAGTGCTGATGAGAGCAGGCTGGTGCTATCAATATGACCTGAGCTCATTCCCTCTGGATCTTGAGGAGTACCTTGTGAACTAGCGGTATGGGTGTAAAGATGAAAAGGAGATGGCCTCCCCACAGAAGGAGGAACGCGTCCACTCTGGAGCCCAGGCTGTGATTCTGGAAGAAGCAGAACTGCTGGCTCTTCCTGTTGTGTTGCATGGTGAATAGGTTTATCTAGGGAAAGCTCCACCTCTGAAAGACTGAGAACGCAACGTCCGGGTGAAGGGACCACTTGTGGGCATGAAACGACCTGCTGAGGTGGTCCGCCTGCTCGTTCTGTACTCCGGGGAGGTACAACACTTGCAGGTGTATTTAATACTCCACAAAGACGTCCACAGCATGAGGGCTTTTTGGCACAGGGGAGAGGAGCGTGCACCCCAGTTTGTTGATATAGAACATTGCTGTTGTATTGTCTGTCATAACTGATACACATTGTCCCATTTAAGTGTGCACAGAAGGTCTGGCATGCTGGGCGCATCGCTCTCAGCTCTCTGACATTGATGTGGAGATCCAGGTCTGCTTGAGTCCTTGAGTCCTGCGGTCTCCCAGATGAACTCCCCAGCCCAAGTCTGATGAGGCCATCACTAGCGAGAGAGACAGCTGTGGACTGGTGAAGGGGACCTCTAAGCACACCTCCTGAGGGTCGAGCCACCAGATGAGGGAGTCGATGACCTGGCAAGGCAGGGTTGATCCTGTCCAAGCTCTCCCCGGCTGGGCAATACACTGACACAAGGCACGACTGAAGAGGTCAAAGCCTGAGGCTGGCATTCGGCACCACGTAGGTACAGGCAGCCATGTGTCTGAGAAGCTGCAGGCAGTTTCTTGCTGTGGTGATGGGAAACTGTCTGATGCCTCAAATGATATCTGTCAGGGCCTGAAACCTTGCTTCCAGCAGGTATGCCCTGGCTTGGGTCGAGTCCAGTACTGCCCCATAAACTCTATCCTCTGGATGGAGGACAGAGTTGATTTTGCTTTGTTTAGAAGGAGACCCAGGTTGTCAAAGTGGCTCTGATGAATCCGACCTGAGCTTCCACTTGGGTCCTGGAGCGGCCCTCGATCAGCTAGTCGTCGAGGTACGGAAACACCTGTACTGCTGCCTGCGCAGGAACACAGAGACAACTGCCATGCACTTGGTGAAGACTCAAGGTGCTGCTGACAGGCTGAATGGAAGGACTGTGAATTGGTAGTAGGTATTGTTCACCACAAACCTGAAGTACTTTCTGTGGGACTAAGTGATTGCGATATGAAAATATGCATACTTCAAGTCGAGGGCAGCATACTTGTCTGCTGGATCCAGTGAGTTCGGATGATGGAGGCCAAAGAGACCATGTGGAACTTGAGTTTCTTCATGAACTTGTTGAGTTCTCGCAGATCCAAGATGGGCCTGGGGCCGCCTTTGATTTTTGGTATTAGGAAATACCGGTAATAGAAGCCCTTGCCCTTCTGCTCTTGAGGAACCTCCTCCACTGCCCCTAGCGATAGGAGTGACTGCACCTCCTGTATAAGGAGTTGCTCGTAAGGGGACCCTGAAGAGGGACGGGGAAGGGGGCTGGAAGGACTGGAGGGCACAGAATTGGATGGAGTATCCCCTGTCGTGTGGTGCACCCAGCGGTCCAAAGTAATACGGGACCAGGCACGGTTGAAAGGAGATAGTCGGACGAAAATGTAAGGCAGGGTGGATCCAGATCTACCTCTGGTGCGCTGTCCTCGACTGCACCTTCAAAAGGTCGGTTTGGCCCCTGAAGAGGGTTGGACTGTCCTGAGCCCTGGCCAGAGCGTTGACGTAGACTTCCCCTGCCACTCTGATTTTTCCTTCTGAAGCCCTCTTGGCAGATCTGATGACCGAACCGCTGAGGAGGCTGCAGACAGAAGTGTCTCTTCTGCATTGAAGGCGTATAGAGACCCAGGGACCTAAGGGTGGCTCAGGAGTCTTTAAGGCTGTTTAGTCTTTTGTCAGTTTTCTCTGACAAGAGAGTATTACCTTCAAAAGGCAGGTTCTGAATAGTTTACTCTACCTGGTAGGGGATGCCAGAAACCTGGAGCCATGAGCCCCTTCTCATAGCCACTCCTGTGGCCATAACCCTGATGGCCGCATCTGCCCTGTCAAGTGCTGCCTAAAGGGACACCTTTGAGATCAGTCTCTCTTCCTCAAGAGAGGAAACGCAGCATGGGAGTTCGAGGGGAGCAACTCCATGAATTTAGCCACTGCTGAGCAGGTATAGTAGGAGTACCTGCTGACGATGGCCTGATGGTTGGATATGCGGAGCTGTAAGTCTCCAGTGGAGCAAACTTTTCTCCAATAAAGGTGAAGCCTTTTTGCTTCCTGATTCTTTTGGGAGGGACCCTGGAAACCCTGATGCTCGTGTTGGTTGGCAGCATCGACCACGAGAGAGTCAGGTGTGGGATGCATGTATAAATGCTCATAACCCTTGGATGGCACAAAGTAGCGTCTTTCGTTGCACTTAGCCATAGCAGGTAACAAAGCTGGGGTCTGCCACAGAGTTTTTGTGGTGTCAGAGATGGTCTTTTTGAGGGACAGGACAATACATGCAGGTCCAGAGGGGGCGAGGATGTCCACCATTGGATCTGCATCCTCCACTACCTCCTCTGCCTGAATGCCCAGGCCCTGGGCAACCCTCCACAACAATTGCTTCAGAACCGTGTTGTCCTCCAGGGCTGGGGCTGTCGCCGTGCCTGCCAATGCCTCATCTGGTCAGGAAGAGACCCCCATGAGGGGTGGCTGCTCCCTTCCTTTCTCACCCGCGGCGCCTGGGTTTCTTGGGCTGGTGCTGACCCAGATGGTGTTGCACCCCTCAGTGTAGGGGCTGCATATACCGAAACAGGCACTGCCGGTGCCAAAAGTGCCATCAGTCATCCTCGATATCGGAATCACCGTCGAGGCCAGAATCGCTCTTGGTTCCAGAGCCGGAGTTGACGTTGCTGCCGGTGCTGGAGTCCCCGCCGGTGCCAGTGCTGCCGGGACCCCCAGGCCCACTGCTGGCTGCACCAGAGGCATTGAGATGGCAGTGCAGGGTGGTAATGGGCCTATCCCCAACCCTGCTGGTGCCGGCAATGCTGGCGGGGGTACAAAAGAGGCCGAGGCTACTGACGTCATCCTGGAATGAGACCCTTGGCTACGACCTTGTCTTTGATGAAAAGCCCAGGGAGTCCAAAAGGGCCACTGCACCGGGGGCTGCCATTGGGCAGGCCAAGGTGCTAGGTAAGGGTGTTGGTCCCAGTTCATGTGGACCATCTGCTCCTGCTCCTCCGGGACAGACAGGAGCCCGACTCTGACTCCGAGGTGACTGAAAACGATGACCACCACGGGAGCAGTACTTCTAAACACCAAATTTTTGTGCCAAGGGCTCAGAGGGATCAGCATGGCTGCTGGGTGTGCTCCGGTGCCAGGGAGTGGCGCGCTGGGGTTGGAGATCAGCAGGCCATCATAGCGGGCTTTCCCCTTGCAGGGGCCTGGGAAATGACCGTTGCTGTCGACCTGTCCCGTCTGGGAGGAGAGAATGGTGACATGAGGTGAAGCAGTTCTTAAGCCACTTCAAACGCCTCCAGTATCAAAGGGAGGTGCAGCTCACGGCTCGGCCTCAGAGAGTGAGGAGGGCCCGGACTCAACTGCCCTTCTACATGGGCAGGAGTCAACACAACCATCCCTGGTGGAACAGCTTTAGTGTGGCTTGACTCGGGTATAACAGCGGGAGGCTCCTTAGTCTTAGCAGGGGAAGAATGACCCCTCTCTGGCCTCTTTTTTTGCAGCACTGGCAATTCCGAATGGTGCCTGCATACCGCATGTGAGCAGCGAGTGGAGCTGGGACGGTGCCATGAATCCTTATCCTTACCCAGCACCGGTGCTCGTGCTGATGGTGCTCGAGTGCTCCGCACCAAGGAGGAGGTACTCAGCGCAGGATCCGTCGACCCAGGGTGGGACTGGGGGCGGAGTTCTGCCTCCATCATCAACAGGACCTTCAGGCGCTGCTCTCTATCTTTTAAAGTCCTGGGCCAAAAGGTCTTTCAACTGGCACAACGATCCTTCTTATGGCCCTCTCCTAAACACTTTAGACACGAGGTGTGAGGATTGCTTCTGGGTATACACTTGGCACAGGCTTTGCAGGTTTTGAAGCCCGGAGACCCTGGAATGCCCTGGCGTTGGGAGAGCATAGGAGGGGATTTCCCCCCCACAAAAGAAACTTACCTAACACTAACGAACTACTAACTACTCACTATCAACGAACAATGGAAAACTAATGAAAAACAATGTAAGACAAGAGCACAGGGAAGTTCCAGCTAACCGTCACTGGCGGTAAGAAGGAACTGAGGGGGTGGTGGGTCAATAGGGCTCTATATTGAGCGCCATGAAGGCACAACTCCAGGCGCCATCCTGGCCCACCCAATGCACACATACCTGATTGGAATCAACATGAACAAGCACTCAAAGAAGAATTGTTATTATTAGTTATTATTATTGAATATTGTTAAATATTGACTCCATTTCATGAATCTAGCCCTTAGTTTCATGTCTACAGTTACATGACATAAAGCTGCTGTATACAATTTCTTGCTCGTGTGATAGTACGAGGGTAGATTGTTTACAGCTTTAAAAAAGTGTAATTGCAATGATTTCTTGGTAAAACTTTTACAATTGCAGTATTTTCATCAGTTCACAAATCTGTCTGAAACTCAAATATTCAAGACTGTACACATTTTGGAGTAACAACTACTTCACTAACCTGAGTTTGGATTAGGATTTGGGTTAGGATTTCAGTTTTAATGATGATGCAAGATCATTTTGTTAGATTATAAACTGAGAAACTGCATGGGATGCAAGTAAAGCTGTTCAGATAACCCAAGCCAAATACAAGGCTGGTGGCTGCAGTCACACAAATCACCTAATTCCTGACTCGCTAAATATTCAATAGGACATTCAATTAACAGTGATTTTTTTTGAGTTACACCACTTACTTATATGCAGTTTGTAATAAAATATTATTACTTTTCAAATCTTATCCAAAACGGAAAAGATGCTCAGTTCCATAGGCCACATCCCACAACTGATTTTCATGTAGACTTTCCCATTACTTTTAATGGGAATCTTACTCCAATTGATACCATATGCCAGATATTTGAAAGAACCACAAACTCAAAACATAAAACCTCTCTCCAGATTGAAAATCTAAGTGAATTCATGACAGGGAGACATATTTTTCAGAACTGGATGGTTACTCTTCTGCTCTTAAAGGCAAGCAGACAACTCCCAATGAAGTCAGTGGAAGTTACGACCATGCAATAGAAGAGTTGAGCTCGGAGAGTCCTAAAATTTAGGTCTATACCACTTTTCTGTATATGTTTGGCACTGACTTTAATATGAGTGCCTCATGTAGAATGAAGGTAGAATATGGCCGTTAGTTAGGTTTTTGTAGTAAGACAATTAAAAATGGATACAAGCTTGTGTTTTAAAAAAAATGTCATAAGAGGAAGACAGAATATCCACAGACAGAAAATTAATCTAGTGTTAAGTTTTAAAAGAGGAGAAGTAGGGAAAAAATTGTGTTAGAGTAGCTGAAACGAGTAGGAGAGAAGAGTTGTTTATCGTCAATTTCAATGCCACTATTAATTGCTTATCTAACATCTAAGTATTACAGTGAGGTATGCACTAGAAAAACCAATAGAAAGATTGATTAAAAAGTTATTTTGATGGTTTTAGCTACTTTAAATAGGGAAACAGCCTTTTTAGGAAACTTTTTCTTCAGGCAGTAAATCTATTTTGGCTCATCCCCATTAAGTAAAGATATATACGCCGTTCTATTTACAATCCCCTTTGTTTTTTGACTTGCATGTATTCATTAGCATACACCAAAATGAATGTGTAACATTTGGTATTCACATGTTACATTTAAATAAAGTTTATTAAAAAACAATTATATTAAATACAGACTAACAGAATATTCATAATATACTTTACAGAAAAAAATAGCCATGTCTTTATTTTAGAAACACGTTTCTTTAAAAAGTTCTTTGAGATTTTTATAAAACATTTTACCCGTGAAGATAAGTTTCCCGTCAGACCTGTATAGAAAAAGCTTAAACTTTAAATCCTTGGGTTTTTCTTAATATTTTTACAAGCTTACAATCTATAAATTCTTTAAAATAAAACACAGTATCTTTCGGGATCAAATTGGTCACAGGCCGTTATTTTAAAAAGTCAGTGGAGACTCCCTGAATCCATTCTGAAGTGCCTTTTTTTCTTTCTGGGGATAAATAGTGCAGATTTAATTGGGAATTCAGAGCTCCCTATGTTCTATAGAAAGCAGGAAGTGTGTCAGTGACAGGGTGCAGCTGCAGAGTCCATAGAGTCAATGAATCCCCCAGTATCAGTAGGAGGCAGAACTCGTAACTCCAAGTCCAATGCAGTCCATGCTTTTTCCCCAGTCCCTCCAAGATCTCTGATGGGTTGAACTGCCACAAACAGATTCCACAGGAGATGGCACCTGCCCCTCATTTGCTTTCCAAGTTGTAGCAGTGGACATCTCCTTTTCCTTTCCCATCGTATCCAGGAAGTGGCTGTCCATATTTATCCACACACCAGCAATAGCCTCTCTTTCGGCCTTTGGATGGGCGGCACTGAAACAAAATGAATGTAAGATTCAGTTAACGCCTTTTTTTTTGGGTACAGCAGGGGTTCCAGTTAATTCTAATCTCTTTGATAGCTTCAGTAATATAACATGGCCAAATCAACACTGCTCATGCTGTGAGTATATGGAATTCCAATTACCAGCACAAACTATTATAATGATATTTTACTTCTACTGCCAGCCAACTATTAGGGATCTAATCATCCTACAATAAAACTATTCTTAGAAGCACAAAAAGGCAGCTTTATAAACCACTCCACATGATATCACACAGCACAGTTGTCCATTATTGAGCAAAATCAACTTCAATGACACTACTTGCAACTGTAAAGGTTGTAGGATCAGATCCTTTATTTGGGAAAAAACTCAACAGATTACTCTTACCATACTAAGGGAGCACATGTTTGGCAGAGACTGCACTTGCAGCAATAACACCTCAGCTTACATCTGTTTGCCAGGGGAATTTCAGTACTCTAGTTGACATTTATTAACAGATATATAATACCCTGCAACAGAGTTATCACTTCAACAACTGCTAGGTATATTAGAGCTTTACATATATAATTTCCTATAAATAAGGTTGCCTGAATATCCATAATCCATAACCTAAATAATTTCTAGAGAAAGCACTTGCCTACCAAGACTAGTTATCAATACAAGCCAACCTGAAATTGTAATACATAGTGTGTACGTATGTTTTTGCTATAAATTATTTATATATCTATATAAAAGCTGAAACTTTCTCTAGAAATAATAATTTAGTACAGGAAAGATGGAAAACCAAGCACACTAAAGAGATTCTTCCAAAGACCCTAAGAGTTACAAAGAGAATCTAAGGCAGCATACATAGTTCCTGATCACATATTGCATATAACATTCCTCAGCTACCTCGGGGCCCAGTCCAGCTGAAAGGTACCTCCGTAACTGAAAGTTTTCTTCTATTATAAGGGGAAGCACCCCTCTCTAATAGTCATGCAAAGTCATATTAAGCATTCTACAGTCAACCTCCTTCCCAGGATGGAGTCACAATCTATGTCAACTGGACTTTGGGATTTTATGGTTGTAGACTCACTGAATGCCCTACTGCAGAGACATGTTCATCAGAGCTAAAATAACCACCATTTAGTAGGTGAAGAATTTTAAAGAGTCTGTGGCACAAATTTATCAGGCTCTTGCTAGATTACAACTACAACAGATATATCACCTAGGAACAAGAACAGAGAAGCCACGTAGCCTGAAGACCTCGCCCATCCTCTGCCACCAAAAATAAAAACACACAAAAAAAGAAGCCTACCTCCACCTCCTTTGGAGGGAACAAGAGAAATCATCCTCCAAAGCAGGTGGGTGGCCTGTGTACATTTCCAGCTCATGTATTTTATTCATTGAGGATGAAATTTATCCAGGTTGAAAGAGTCTGTAGAAGGCCTATGCAGGCACCAATTAAGTCCTCAAAACAAGGTTTAAGTAGGACTTAAATGGTGCACAGGCCTCTGCATAGGAGCCCATTTCACCCTTATAGCATAGCTGATTGGTCCAGGAGCCACTAATTTACCTATCCAAGGCCACACAGTGCAGCACATACAGTCCCTAATAGTTGAGTACTGTGGAAAGTGGGGAGCTCCTTTGCTCCTTTATCCCTACCCCTAGCCAGCTCCACAACTCCCCACCATGGACTTTTGGGGGAAGAGATCTCTTTGTGGTTTCCGTAGTTGGCAAATTTTCTTTGGATTCCATCATCCTGCCATGAAGCAAACATCACCCATAGCTTTTCAGAGCTTGCATGGTTCAGAAAGCTGGATATTGTGTTGGACAGACTCCTCTCCCTGAGGAATGTTTGCTTTTACCATGTTTATTATGGTACATGAACTAATAGCACTCACTCTAACTGAAAATGAGCAGTCGTTTAGATTCATTGATTCCAAAGGCCAGAAGATGATTATCTAAGTCTATATTCTTGTTATATCTTTGGGCAGGAAGACCAAATATCATGTCATGTGCTGAAATAACACAAAGCTTTCTCTTCTTCAGAACCTTTGTTTTGCAGTCATACTGCATGCAACAATCCTAGTCACTTCAATGGCAGTTATGCCAGAAGAATGTCTACAAGATCAGGTCCAAAGTAAACAAATGCTTATTTTCTGAGGGGGAAAAGCAACCCTGGCCAATCGAAAAAAGAGTTGCATTAGTAATTCGCCTAATTATCTGATTATCTTTGTTTGAATTACAAGTTAGCCATTCAGTCAGTTGTCCTTAAACACGAAACCAACATGGATTTTATCCTTTTACATTGTTTAACAAGCCCATTAATGGCCTGATCCACTGGCCATTGAGTCAATGGGAATTTTTCCATTAACTTTAATGGCCACTAGATCAGGACCTAACTGAACTGGTAATGTTTAATCCTTAAAACTCTTTGGCGTCAAAATAATTTAATCCACAGTCAACATCTCTTTTATTATAACAAGTTCATAGATCAGGAAACTAAGGCAGAAATTCTTAAGTGATTTTCCAAAGGACACACAGTCAGTGTCCGAGCCCAGAATTAGAGTTAGGATTTCCTAACTCTCAGCCTGGTATTGAGTTCACTAAACTGTACCTCTGCTAATATCTGTAACATATCCTCTTTGCTTTCAGAGGTACTGTATGAAGTGTTCTTCACAAATCTCAATGGTTCAAAGGAATTGACTTTGATTACTGTCAAAGACATACATATGTAAACCAAATTATCAGTTTAAAAAATTGGTCTCACTTTTAATGTCATTTTATTTTCTACAATCTCATCACTGACTTTCAGCATTAAATACAGTTAGAAGCCACCTTTCATTTCTTGTTTTGAGAAAAAGTCTCAGATCTGCTGTGTGCCTTAGAGATAAGCAGCAAAAATAATGCTTTGTCTCCAGAGCAACACAGAAATGTTTTTCAGATCTCTCAAGTTCAAAACAAGGATTTGCACTGACTGCCCAGCACTGGGGCAAGGGACAAACATATCTCCCATAATAGTTTGATCTGGCCCAAAAGGGATGTTTTTATTCTAAAACTCCCATATTTTGCATTCTCTTGCCCTGACATCAACTGAAATGATAGACAGTGCATATCAAAAAGACATCTCTTATTCTGTGTTTTGTATACCAGTGGGGACAGATTCCTGGGCCCAGCTCCAGCTGCTTTGTGCTGCCTCAGAAGTGCAAAACAGCTGGAATAATGCCCTAAATTGGGCAGCTGAGGATTTCCTCTGACAGAGGGGCCAGATGTCAGCCCTGTTGCCCCCTGCTCTGTCCCCTCCACAGAGCAATGCAGAAGGGACATGGCAAAGCATAAGGGGTGCCACTTAATTCCTGGTCAGTACAGTCATTCCTATGGGACTGCAACTGGCATAACTTGAAAGCAGCCTTTAGAAAGCTCTAATTTACAGCAAAGGTTATTTTGGCCTCTGGCTGGCCCAGGATTGGGGGAGCTTTGTCTTAAATGGAGCAATGTCAATTCACATCTACTGAAAAGCTGGCCATTTATGTGGATTTGGGATAATTCTTAGAGAATCTTAATTCTATCAAAAATTCTTTGCTTGCTTGAGACAGATATACTCCTGCACCATGAAACTATACCCATATACCACAGTATATGACTTAGGCATGAGTAAGTAGGGATCAATGTCTAACAGATCTGGTGCAGTATATAATAAACAAAGGGGTCCTATTATGCTCTGGAGGGGTCCCTCCACGTTCCTCTTTATCACTTCCTCTCTTTTACACAATTTACTTGAGGACTGAACACAGATATCTTTAGAGCTCATCAGTGTTGCTCCTCACTTCCATGGGGCATGATGACAATGACTCTGTACCATGTTTCCAGGTTCTGAGGATCGAGGAGCAAAAATTAAATTAGGGACTCAAACTCTGATCCCTCTACTCTAGAACAACCACAAAGCCAGACTTCCAGTTTTACCTTTAAACCGTTGTTTACCAAGAAGCATTGGGCAAGAAAAGTAAAGTAAATAACAAATATTAATTTAAATGGACAGGGAGTGGAGAGGGCAGAATTCCTTTCAGAACTGTTCATGTAGCTTCCAGTATGACTGACTCTCCTATTTGATTTCATGTTGTACATCACGTGGCTTGGCAAGATGATAAGTGCATATTAGCAACCACATTTATTTGATAATTTCCCCGTGCTCCTGATTTAATAATAATTAAATATTAAAAAAATATATAAATACTTTAAATTGCTTTCCATGATGTATCTTTTCCTTTACAGCAAACCACTAAAACTACCCCGAGGGTGTCTGGAAAGTCAATTACTTGATATACAAAAATCAAATCATGAAGAACAACTGCATTCAACATGTTCCTGAAGAGCTAGTCAGTAAAGAAAACAGGTAGTTCATGTGAACACGAAGAGGAAAACTTTCTTATGAAAGACTTTATATGGCTCTTTTAGATGATCATGATACTTCACTAGATTTAGCCCAAACCTATCACTTATCTGTAGACAAATGCTGCTCCTTTATAACTAGGGCCCTACCAAATTCATGGTCCATTTTTCACAGTCATAGACAGCGTTTTAAAAATCCTGAATTTCACTATTTCAGATATTTAAATCTTAAATTTCAGAGTTGTAACAAAGCATGAATATTTACTGAAAAATGGCAAAATATGTAAAGCCCTTAAGCCAACATTTCTCAGACTGGGGTTCCCGACCCAAAAGGGGGTGGCAAAGCTATTGGGGGGAGGGAGGTCAAGGTATTGCCACCCTTACTTCTGCTTTGCCTTCAGAACTGGATAGCTGAAGCACGGCGGCTGCTGGACAGGTGCCGAGCTCTGAAGATAGCACTGCCACCAGGAGCAGTGCAGCCTTCAGAGCTAGATTCCTGGCCAGCAGCCGCTGCTCTCTGGCCACCCAGCTCTGAAGGCAGTGCCACCACCAGCAACAGCGCAGAAGTAAGGGTGGCAATACTGCAACCCCTTTACAATAGGCTTGGGACCCCCTTTTGTGTTGGGACCCCCAGTTGGAGAAACACTGTGTACTTGTATATTCTTTTACCTTATAGTATAAAGGAGTATAGTATAGGGTAAAAATACACAAAAGACCAGATTTTATGGGGGATTGGTAAGGCCCTATTTATAACCATATTGTTTCTTTGTGTTAGTTCTGCACTGCATAGCCTGGCACTGTGCTGAAATATACTGTACTACTGGACCGTATCTGTATCTACAACATAGAAGTTGCACTCATAAAGTGCCTTTATTTTCTTAAGATCTCAGAGCATTTATTAACATTTTATTTGATACTCACAGCACCTTATGAGGTGGGTATTAATATGACATTAAGCAAAAAGGCCCTAATCATGCAATTTGCTCTGTATGAGCAAATGCTTATGTCCATGAATTCAATGGGGATCCATTTAGGCATGACAGTGTTTGCCTGTGTGGAACAGCTTGCAGGATCAGGGTCCATATCAATGGCAGAGCCAAAAAGAAACACTGGAGGAGTTTTGATTCCAAATCACTGATCTAACCATTACACCACACAGCTTCTGAAATGACAGCTAAACTGCTTTGGTAAAGAATGAACTACTTTTACAAAATATGCAAACACCTAATTTTTGCTAACCTTCCCTGGGCAACATTCTTTGGAGGTGGCGTGCCACCGTAGTGCACTGAGCTGCATATCCAGCTACTTTAGAGGTACCAGAAGAAAGCTGATATTTCCATTATTAAAAATGTCTGCCTTCTAGGACAGTGAAAATAATATTATTTAGGATGATTTACTATTTCCTAGTACTGTATAACACACTGAATTCTTCTGTCATAATGTGGAGTTACAAATGCTAAATGATGTTAATAACAGCAATGCAGGAAATCATAGAATAACCTAGCTTTATGTTATTCAGATTAGATATGTTCTCTGAGTTCCTAAAGTATCAGACCTAGATTTATGATGCTGCAAAAAACAGGGCAATCACTACATTTCCCATACAGCAGTGAGTGCAGTCTATTATATATGTACTTATTTCTCATACCTATTGTGGTATTTAATTTTAGAATGATACTGTAAACATATTATTTTGCATTTTTGTGAGCTGCAGACTGTATCCTCGACACCCACCCTAAAGTTAAGGCCTGCATTACAGTTTGATAGCAGTACTAAGTGTTGGCTCTAGATCAGCGCTCAGGTAAGATATCTGCTTGTGTTGACTCTGCCTGTGCTCACTGAGGGCTTGATTCTGCAAGATGCTGAGCTTCCCTCAATTCCTATGGAAGCCAGTGGGGCATACAGGCACGTGGCATGGCATCTGGCAGGACTAGGCACATCCTTTGCCACAGATGCCCCCATGATAGGCCACTACATGTAGTGCAGGAACTCTCTCTGAAATTCAGCAGATGCAGTTTTAAAGCCTCTGGTGGAACATGCACTACAGAATTTAGAGTGCAGAAGCAGCTCCCCTTACATAGGATCTTCATCTTATTCTATTAAATGAATAGCTTTGAATGATGACTAGAACTGACATCAAGGTACACTTATTTTAATATCATTTTTTGGAGTGGGGAAGTGCCCAGGTTCCCTAATGGCAGAATTATCACTGCTCAAAAATGCACCTCAACATTTTGGTGCCTATGGATCTTATTATTTATTTACGGTAGTACCCAGGAAAGCGCCTAGCATAGAGTAACACTGAAGAAAAAATGTCCATTCCATAAAGAGCTCACAATCTGAGCTGCAAGTTGACAAAAGTACTGCAGGCAATTTCTGCAAATGGACAAAGTAGAGCATATTCTTTGGTCTTCTTTAATAGCTAAAGGAGCACACGGACTACAGTATGTAACAAAAAGCATATCTCTTGGAACTCTGTTCAAATATCTATTGCTTGAAATAAGCTAAACACTTCTATGTCATAGGAACACACACACAATCTTGGTTCCCACTCAGAGGGTCAGTGCTGTCCTTAGACCATTGAATAACTTTCGTTGAAATCAATGGCATTTTGGAATGAATGCAGATTGAGGGCTGCAACCTACATATGGCCCTACGTTCATTTACATCAAGTTAAAATATCATGGAACAAGAATTCACACCAGCTTAAATGAGACCTCCAACCCAAAAAAAGAAACTTGCCCCGCTTGAGAAAATCACCAGCTGCTCAGGAAAAGCTAGAGTGAATAGATGAGCTATGCAACACGCCCTAAAGGTCAACAAACATAGGCACTGTCAGATCAGTGGAAGAAGTGTATTCTAGAGCCAGGAGCCCCCTCTCTGAGTGCCCATCATCAAATCTGCAGAGGTTGCTGAGCTCAGTTGTTGAGATGTTACATAAGAGGAAGGATACCCCTGTGCTGAAAAAAGGTGTGTTCTTAACTCATGTTAGCTAACCTGGGTTAAAACAGCAGTGATGTCACAGCAACTTGGCTTTTAACTCAGGTTAGAAGCTGGAGTTAAAGCCTCTGAGGCAACCTGGGGTTGAATTTCAACTGCTAACCCAAATTAAAAACCAAGTTGCTGTGCCTTCACTGCTACTTGAACCCAAGTTAGCTAATGCAGATTAGCTAACCAAGTTAAGAACACATTTTTTTTTTTTTTTGCAGAGTAGACATACTTGAAGAAATCCATGATCCAAGCAACAGAGAGCAGCAGGACTTAAAGTGAAGCCTATGGATGTGTGGTAGCCAAGTTGGGCTGGCTGCTCATTTCACTTTCATTTCCAACTGATAAAAAACAGACGACAACTAAAAATACATGGAATGCTTTCCTAATATTATTTTCCAGTGTGAGGCACTGCTGTGGTTACCACAGGGATGTGAAGGGAGAAGTGGGCCTGAGTAATCATGAAAGGGAGGGGGAAGGTGGCCCACTATATAAATTCTCTTTAAAGATGTGAACCAGCCCACTGAAAAGCTTGAGAACCCCTGATATAAAGCTCTGTAAATTTAAAACTGCACCTTGAACTGCACCAAGAAACTAATTCAGAGCCATTGCAATCTACTAAACATTGGAATTATGGGTTCTGACATGGAAAAACACTAAGCAAGGGCCCTGATATTTATTTTCCACTAGCCAAAGTTTCTTGAGAGCCCTTCACGGGCACCCTTAAGTAGAGCATGTAGCAATAGTTCAATATGGAGATAACAAAGGCATGAATAGCTGTGGCGGTGTTTGCATTTGTCAAGAAAGGTCACAAGCACGTAACCAAATGCAAATGGAAAACCAAAGGGGTTGAGAGACCATCATTACTGAAGAGTAAATACTGAGTGTATCACTTTCACTATAACATGACATAGATTTTGGAAGTGATCTCTGCAGCGTATAAACGACAGATATATGGCTTTCTCAAGTTGCTTTTTGTAATGTGACCTAATCCAGTTCTTCTAGGAACTCTCAAGCAGCTATTTACAATTCAAAGCACTGATCTATTACAGTCATATGGTGACTCCAACAGTTAACACTGTGGGTAAATGCTTTTTTTAAACTGATGGGCATTGATATCCGGGGCTCTGGCCAACCCATGTGTGATTGGGTATGAAGTTTCTCAGATTAATCTGTTGTCAGGAACGACAGCAAATAAAAACACTGTCTACACCTGACATGGCTTGGTGCTATGCCACCAGGTCCTGAAACTGGGCTTAAACTAATGTTTCAGTAAAGTGCTACGTAATGCACATGAACATTACTAGTAATGTTAAATTTGACTTTGTATTAACAGATAACGATGTGGAAAAGCTGAAATACACTTACTGAAATGATCAAGAAATATTACTCACTTGCTTTTTCTTGTAAAATCCTTTCTTGTCACAATTTGGAATATGGAATCCTCTTGGACTCAAGACATTCTGGATCTTTAGGTGATTTAACGTGTCTTCCATTTCTCTACGGCAGGGACCCTGTCAATGATCATGTTTAAGAAAGCACAAATGAAATCCTCTCGCTCAAACCCTGTCTCCTATATTCTTAAAAATAGTAAATCTGTAGATATTAAAAAGCACTAAGCAGCAAAGAACTCCATAAAAATAGGGTGATGGATCTGACCAGAAATGACTAGAAACATCCACACTTCAATTTTTAGCATGCTAGCTTGAATCCTGCAAGCACAAGTCTGACTACTGAGGCTGACAAGCATGCTCTCAGCTGCTGTGTAGCCATACCCTAGAAGCCCTAGTTCTGGGCCAGTGCCCCATAATCTCTCATCAGCCCTCACAGCTACCTAAAATATTAATTCTGCTATACACAGATTTATTTTTTGGAAGAAGGACATTCTGAACCTCTCAGACTCTGATGTGCTTTAACTGGAACGCCTGACTTCAGTAATACATTGAACAGGCAGGAAAATTAACCTTGCTAATTTGTTTTAGCTGCCATATACTCTCTACATGGATGGAACTCACTACTTTTTGTAGGTTTTGAAACATTCTTTTTGTGGAAGAAAGATACGTCTGGATCACCCATGAATATTTTGATGAAGTGCCAAAGTATACCCAAGAAACATTTTGCATGCCTGTTGGCACTGGTATGAGGATAACCAGATTGTCTGCCAAGAGCAGTACATGAATCATAGTTTTACCTGCTCACATTCCCTGTACCCAGGCTGCCCTGCAATCTTGCCCATAAACTGTAAATAAGGAATAAGAAACAGTGGCAGCTCTTATCCCTATGGTCATTACCTGCAGACATTTTCAGTGTGACAGAGCAATTACTACAAATCTAGAACACAGATTTGTGTGCAGTAGGCACATTTGATAATCAATCAAAAGCTGGTACTCAGTTCCATGCTAGAGCACTTTCCATAATTTGCTTCCTGGAGCACAGACTCAGACCTTTGGGTTGAATATAAGGCCTTTTTCTTTTTTGCATTGCCCTTTCTTTCTTGCCAGTGGGTAATCAAATCTAATCAAGCTGTTATTAGTCCTAGTCTGACTCTGTTCACACCCATATGTGAAAACTATAGGTGAGATTAATCTTTTTTACTGTCCAAGGATTCTTATTGATAATCAGATTAAAAACAAACACTAGACCTCTGTGGTTTCCAAATGTGATCTGTCTGGCCTGCTGACCCTCTGCATTTGCATCTCCAATAGTTTGACTGATCACACAGTCAGAACTCCTTAAATGGCTACAACAATTACCACCATCTGGTTTTCTATTTATCTTGTCAAATACAGCATGCCAAAAAAAAAAAAAAAGCAAGCATGAGAATGTATTTATCTTTTCTACTTATAAATATACTTACATATTCAGTCTCTTGTTTGGATTCAGAAGAGAAATTCAGTGTATCTGTACTTTGTGAATCATATTCCACTTTGTACCGCTGTGTATTTTTGGCTTGTTCTTTCCTGATGATATCTATTTTGGTGTGATGTGGATGTGATTTGGAATCTGACACCCTGTGAGAGTTAGGGATGGCCTGATTCTCTATGCTACTGGCATTCTGGTCTTCTTCTGAATCACTGGAATTTCCTTCAAATAAAATAAATTCAACAAAGAAACAAAGTTAATTATTCAGTTAAGCCTAGGAGCACAATAGCTTATTTTAAGAGATTCTAGTATTTCTTTTCTTTTTTATTAAAAAACACAGAGAGCCTTAAATGACATAGTGTTCTCTGAGCAGCAATGTCTGTATTTCCTGAACAGAAATAATTCTAATGTTCTCATGACTGAAATATCTCGTAAACTCCTAGTAATTCTTTTAAACTCTGCCATTCCACTGTCATTGTTGGTTGCTACTAATTAAACATCTTTCTTTTCTACTTAATTGTATGAACATTTTCATTTATACTTTCCATCAATTTGATTTTTTAAACCACTTGCTATTTAAACTGAGTATATAGCTAATTGCTTCCCTTAATTTGAAGTTTTTTCCCACCAGAAGGGGGCAGATTTGCACGGGGACTTGATCATTTCCAGAGTTTGGATCTGAATCAGAAATCTGTTATCAACTTTACCAATGCAAGACGTGCAAAAAATTCAAATAATTTATTTATGTCCTAGAACTGATTTTATTATCACTTAGTAGTGATAATGATTTCCTGTAATGTCTTATGATGGTTAGTATTCTGTAATGTAGTGTCTCTCCTTTCAGAGTAGCAGCCGTGTTAGTCTGTATCCGCAAAAAGAAAAGGAGTACTTGTGGCACCTTAGAGACTAACCAATTTATTTGAGCATAAGCTTTCGTGAGCTACAGCTCACTTCATCGGATGCATGCCTGATGAAGTGAGCTGTAGCTCACGAAAGCTTATGCTCAAATAAATTTGTTAGTCTCTAAGGTACTCCTTTCTTTTTGTCTCTCCTTTATATCTTCTCCAGGAAGGGAATTAACAAAGAGGTATTACTAAATAGAAGTAATACTACCATGTTAATTTTAATGGGCCTTAATACAGTTATTTCTTAATTTTCTCCCACATACTGCAAACATTTGGTAAGTTAAATTTTACTTAGTTGATAGAGAATTTTCCAATTTGATTCTATTTTTATATTAAACACATTTCAGATTACCAACACAACATTGCCATCCACTCTGCCATAGTATCAAAAAACAAACATCCAGTTTATTTGCTTTTCGCTCTGAGTCAGAAGAGTTTAAAAATATTTTCTTCTCTATCTACTTTCCATAGAAGTAAACAAAAATAAAGTGCCCCAGAATACTGTGCAGGCACAAAGTTTCCATATACAGTACTTAAGATTATGTGTCTATACTATACTATAGCTTACAGGACCCTTCCAGTGTAAATGCAGATGGCTGCATTTCCTCTGAGACATTTTTAAAGTTTATATCCTTTATCAGTTAAGTCAGACTGCTTGCTGCATTTCAGCCCTTTGGCTGCACGCCATCTGAACTTTTTAAAAAAGGAACGGAAATCACATTGGGAATGTAAAATGATAATTGACGTGCAGGGCACAGATTACTTTTAATACCGTTGCTTCAATGCTAGGCTAAAGTTAAAGCACAAAATCTATATTAAAATAGTGCTAAAAGGCTCACTAAAAAACACCAAAGCCAAGAAATTCAGCATCAAGACTGAAAGCCTTCCTAACATATCCCACTGAGTCCAACAATTTTAGCACATATGGCACTAAGGCCCCTGCAATACATAGGCACAGGGAGGAGAAGGAGGGATCAGAATTAACATCTTGTGCCAGTGGTTTTGGTGTAGCCACTGCTGGCAGTAGACATAATTGACCAGGAAAATCCAACTCTCAGCGCAAATGGATTAAGGAAGTTTAAGTCTTAACTCTGAATTTCCTGGCTTTTGTGGGTTTAACTCAGACTCTCAGCGGTGTTTGAACATATTTTTTGTGGTTTAATTTCTTTTTTTTTTTTTTACAGTAGTATTTTTTTTCTCATTCTCAATGATGTTTGGAAGCGTTGATACAATAGAACATAATAATCTAGCTCTCCTAAATCTAAATTATTTCCCCAATAGTATTTTGCAGCCATTCCACTTTATTCACCATGTACATATAGATTTAGAAAGTATTTTAACAAGCATTATGTAACCAACAGATTACGGTGGCCACTTCACAGTTTATATAATTAATCATGGCAATCTGTTCTTAAGCAGTTCTCAAATCAGATTTATGAGTTATGACTACAATTTTTTTATAATGTCAAGACATACTGTATTGCACCAGTTTATTCTATAGAGCTGTTGTCATGTTAGTTACATACCCATTCCTAGCACATTCAAAACCATCATGAAAAAAGCACAGGAAGAGTTGTTTTTTTCTTTTATTAATAATAACAGTCCCTTAAAATGTGAACTGTATCAATGCCAGAAAGATCTAGTATGCACTAGAAGTTAATGGCCTTCTAAATCTGGCATTAAAATGACATTTTAAAATATAAATCCATATAAAACTTTTTTTAGCACTTGCTGTAATGTAACAATGACAAAAACAATTTTACATGGTATTCTACTTATCTGTATGTGTGGGAACAGATTTGATCCTATTATGAGAGTTTGCTGTATGCTAGAATCTGTACTGGGAATTTGGATTTAGGATTGAAACTCTAGTAGTCCCTTAAAGAGGCAGGCACTATGCATAGCATTGGTTCAGCAGATTGCTTCCCTCTTGAAAACTAAGCACTCAACTTGTATTCCCCAGGAAGGGGCCTACTTTTCACTTTATACACAGGGGTGAAGTTCCCACTGACTTCAACAGGCTTTATGTCTGAATAAGGAGTGCAAGCATAGGGCTTTAGTATTTCAACTATTTATGGATGAAGTTAGTAAGTGATCCAGAACAGAAGTGAAAGTCCAGAGCCATCTACCCCTTACCTTCCTCTAATATTTACAGTTACATAATAAATAATAATAATAATATCTGATAATTAGCCGTTTCCAATTTCCACGCATTTGGATGGATACCCCCTCATCCAGGATTCCTTTCAAGGTAGAGTTAACAGCATCAAGCTCTTATGATGAAGGATGTTGCCATGTGTTTCAATGAGGTTTAAATCTTCACTCAGCATGTTTTGAACTCTCCCTCTTTCAAATCGTCACTGCTTGTGAGCAGCACAAAAATAATAATAAGGTATTTTGTGCTCCTGCAGCAGCCAGTTAAGAGCACACTGGTGGCCACTTCCTCTCACACAGCTAAGGAGAGGCCAGCCAAAGAGTGCCTGCAACCCAGAAGAAAAACTCCACGCTGCTTTCAAACCTTTTATCACGCTGTCTTATAAAGTAGATGTTACATCATCGATATTGGTTAGTAAACTCTCTAATGAAATTTGTGCAAATATTAATTGTGCTTTCCTGATCTGAATCCCAACTTCCCTTGTTTCTGAACATTGCAAAATGTGGATGCTTACAGAAGTTGTTCCAACTTTCCTTCCCTCCCTCTTAAAGAAACACACTCTAAATGGTTTTACTTACAAGAGAGTAGGGGAAAGGTTTGTTTTTACCAATCGTTTATTTGCAGAAGTGTACCCACAATATTCACCCCTTTTAAAACTACCAGTCTCTTTGCTTTAAATAATCAGTAACTTTCCAGGCTGGGAAAATATTTGTCCCATTCTCTATGTACTCCTTTACAAGCAATTCACCCATTTTAAATATCTCAGCCTGGCAGACCTGCCTCCTCAGTCAAAGGGGGAACGACTGTCTCATATTTTTTAAAAAAGCATCCTCACCTCTGTTGAAAGGAAGGATTCTGCAACAGCGGAGATTAAAGAACCTTTCTTTTCTTATTCCTCATTCAAACGAGCCCAAACTTGACACACAGCCCTAGATTTGACCGCGAGATCAGAAAACACGACCATTTATTTTGCAGAGCAGGAACGACCACGTCAGTCTTAACAGCGCACTAAGGCTGGAGTTTTGTTTAAGAACCCATCCGCTAGGAGTTGGCTGCAATACTTGGATGGCGACAGAAACATTTTTGCAGTAAGGGAGTGGGTTTTTTTTTGTTTTGTTTTTTGTTTTGTGCAAACTAAACTTTTTTTTTTTTTGCATAAAGGCAACGGATTGATAGATTGATTTGCATCAAACTTTTTTTGGAGGGGCAATTTTTTTTTTTTTTTTTTTGCATTAAACAACACACACACGCACACACAAAGTGAACGGCTGGAGCCTGCTCGCCTTACCTGGAACATGTGGTCCTTGCAGCAGGAAGGTCCGCAGCTTGCTGCCCGCGGTCACGTTGGTGCAAAGCCCCCTGCCCTCCAGCAGCGCCTGCAGGGGTCTGAGCTCCCCTCGGCGCGGCTGGCAGGTGAGGCCGGCCCCGCAGCGCTCGCTGTAGACCCCGCACGGGCGCCCCTCCTGCAGGGCGCAGGTCAAGCAGCAGCCGCAGCCCGGCTCCCGCACCAGCTCGGAGCACTCGGGCGCCAGCGGCTTGCACTGCTCCAGCGCCCGCGCGTCGCAGGGCTCGCACCGCACCACCGGCCCCACCGCCACCGCCCGCCGGCTCAGCAGCGCCAGCGCCGCCACTGCCCACAGCACGCAGAGCCGCGCCACCATAGCAACAAGCGCACGGGGGGGGAGGGGGGCTGGAGAGGGGACGAGCAGCAGCAGAGAGAGCAGGAGAGGGACAGAGCCGCAGCCACACACGCACCTAGCCCGGGGCAGAGCCGCCCCCCCCCACCACAGGAGAGGGGAGTCACAGGCACTCGCCCCCCAACACAGGAGAGAGAAGAGACCAGGACAGACCCCTGCCCCGGAGGTTCAGAGCAGGAGGCTCAAGCCCCAGCCGCTCGCCCCCCTACCAGAGGAGGCGAGCCCAGCAGGCTAAAGCTACAGTCACCCCCTGCCTGCAGCCGGGACCCCCCGCCCTCCACCCCTGCAGGAAGACGAGAAGGAAGAGCAGCTAGCGCCCAAGACGGCTTGTTGCTTCCTCCCCTTCAATAGCGCCCAGGTCACTTGGCTTTGACACTGATTTCTTGCCGCAGACACAGATTTGAAAATAAAATAAATTAAAAAAAAAATCAACAACAAGTAAAAAAAAATACCCAAACCGAGCAAAATGGTCTGGCTGGGAGGAAACGTGGTCCCAAAATGGTCACGGAAAGAGAGGAGAGCAGAGGGGAAATGAAGGAGAAAAAATAAATTAAGAGAGAGCAAAGTTCCCTTCTTTTTATTCTCTTTGTTGCCTGCTATTGGCTTCTACTCTCTGTAACTCTGGGCTCCCATCTGTTCTCTCATTCAGCTGAACTTCTTGCCTATATACAACTCCTGCTTAGGACACGCCCCGGACTATGAATAATGAACAACTCTGGCACTCCAGGAGAAGGGGAGTGACTATTGAAATCCAGATTTCGGTTCAAAAAGTACTGTAAGCAGGGGGGACCCCCCTGGTTATGAGTTGAGTTTAAGTGCCCTTGTGAGAAACCCTCTTTGAGGAGAACAGGAGGACTTGTGGCACCTTAGAGACTAACAAATTTATTTGAGCATAAGCTTTGGTGGGCTACAGCCCACTTCATCGGATGCATAGAATGAAACATATGGTTAGAATATATACACACACACACACACACAGACCGATGCGTTGGGACTGACTTTGGGCACGGAGAGAGGCTACATCCTATGCGCTGTGTTTCAAAGAAAAGTGTTCTCCTTCCCCCACACCCCTTGGCACTGTGAGAGGAGACACGAGCAAAGCTAAACGAGAGTGCCCTTTTTGGCTTCCTGTCTACAATCCTGTCCACACTGGAGCTGATTGATAGCCCAAGACAACCTGGGAGGCGTGCCTGTTAACACACACAGTCAGGGTTTAGGACATACCTTGGACTAACTTCCATCTCACATGACAATTGCAAGTTCTTGGGAAAATTGAATCTCTCTCTCTCTCTCTCTCTCTCTCTCTCTCTCTCTCTCTCTCACTGGAGCACGGTACTTTCGGTGCAGCTGATGTATGAATGTTCCTCCGAAGTATCTTTTTTAAAGTGGTCTCTGAACTCTTAAGACTTTACCTCCTTGCCAAGACAAAGCAGTTTACATAACTGCTTCCTTTTCCAATTCTGAAAGGCAAAACTGGATTTTGCACCGTGAATTTAAACTGTCTCTTATCAGTGAAATTGCAACTTCTATTCTGCTTGGGGTTTTTTTAACGTCCCGTTTTGTTTGATTATAACCTTAATAAAGAAAAAAATTTAAAGTAGCGTAGCCAATGTTTCTATATATTGTATCTAAATATGTTACATACTACAGACACTTTAAAAGACCCTAATTTGTTTATGTACATATGTATAGCCTTTCACTCATAAACATTTTTCCTCACAAGTGAAAATTAACAGCGCTTCCAAAATACTGTCTAGCAAAACTGTTTCCTGTCATGGAAACGAAATGAACCAGAATACTAATCTGTTTCCAAACCATTTCTTGGCACTGAGATTCCCCTCTCAGTGATTCTTGTCAATCCGTTTGTCTAAATCCAGAAGAAAGAGTAAAGGGTTTACTTTATTACCCAATATATTGCCACCCTACATAGATTGTGTATTCAGAACACTGCACATTTAAAATCAAATGCTTTCAGCATTGAGGTCAACTTTCTAGTTATTCTCCCGTTCTTTATTCGGCGCCCATACTTTTCTGCTACAGTCCTGAAGGTGGCCCTTTTAACAACTTTAAACTAGGTCTGATTTTGTATCCTAAAGAATATGCGTAAGAGTTCTTTATTAGAGATTTTAAAATGGAAAAGGAATTTAAAGTGTACGGAGAGAGTGGTCTGCCTCATTTCATCTCCCCATGCATAATACACGATGACTTGCAGACTTCTTTGTCCTCCGGCTCATTTTATAAATTCACCAATAGAGGTCGCCGGTTGCCCAGGATTGAGTCAAGGACTGAATAAACTTGATTGAGCCCATTTACAAAAAGGGGATTGATGAACTTGCTCTAAACTGAATGCACTTTGTTTAGACACTATCTCAGGAAAGCTTTCTGTTACCTTCCGTCACCTCCACATTTTTATAGATGGCGAAGTCTGAAAAGCTTTGGGATCATTTTAGGGTTAGTATCAGGAGGATCACAACATTGCTCAAAGATTAGGTCCAAAAGAAGGATTAGATCTTCCTGTTTTCTGTCCCAGCAATAGCACTGCAGGATAGCACAGCAGATCAAATATGTATAAAAGCATTTTCAGCCACAAACAATTTTTATAGTTTACTGGTTTCAAAATTGAAGCAAAAAGGTAAAGGAGACACTGACCAAAATAAATACATAAATACAAAAATAGCAATTCCCTTTCCTTGCCACAAAAACACACATAAATTGTTCTCAATTTATGTGTGGAAGTAACCTGTTCTTCATATTTCTTTATGAACATTTCCATCAACCAGCAATGTAATCCCCACTGTCAGTCTACCCTCACGCCTCAATTACAGAGATTTACACTGTTATTATTTATTTCACTTTTTACACTAGGAAATATTTGCAATGCCACCAAATAAAAGTATTTTAAGAATTTTTTTTAAAAAAAAAACTACCTTTGTTGAAATTAGCTTATATGCCAATTGAATAATAAAATCTAGGCAAATTGAAGGTTCTACATTTGAATAAAAATTAGGAAGTGCAAAAATTATGATTCTATTACTAAAGAACCCACCCGCCCACAGGTCAGATTTAGCTCTATTGTGAGTATAGATCCAATGATATGTAGTTGTACCCACTTACACCAGGGCTGAATTTGGCCTAACATATATTAAACTAGCCATTTTAAGGGCATCATTCTGCACTGATATACACCCAGTGCAATTCCATTCCAACAAATTGGATTGTTGGATTAGAATCAGCACAGAATTTGGCTGTAACCAACAATCAATAATACCACCTGTACACATTGAGGCCACCAATCTAGCTTCCATTAAAGTCAGAAGTCTTGCCAACTCACAAAAATTGCGCTGGTTTAGTTAAATCGGTTTAGAAACTAGACCCTCTTAAATCAATCTAAGAGGGTCCGCGCAAGGGAGTTGCACCAATTTTGCTAATTCGGTTTCTAAATCAAATTAAAGTTTATCTGCACTAGAAAGTATAACGCCACGGGAGGACATAGTTTCAATGGTATAAATGTGTTTGTACCAGTATAGCTTATTTCAGTTTGGGACCAAAATAAGCTATATTGGTATAAGGCACCTATATACTGGTATAACTGTGTCTAAACTGGGGCTTTTAATGGTATAATTATGTAGACAAAAAAATCCCTTCCGTAATTGACATAATCATACTGATAAAACTTTTCAGTGTACACCAGTTCTTAATTAAATTGGTGCAATATTGGTGTGTGGACAAGGCCAAAGGCAAAACATGCAACATGGCAAGGTTAATAAATAGGGTCGTACTAAATTCACGGCCATGAAAAGCTCATCACAGACTGTGAAATCTGGTACACTCCATGAAATCTGGTATTTTGGGTAGTTTTATCCTATAGCAGCATTTCTTAAATGGGATCTTGACCCAAAAAGGGGTCTCAAGGCTATTGTAGAGGGGTTGCAGTATTGCCATGATTACTTCTGCGCTGCCTTCAGAGCTGGACGGCTGGAGAGTGGAGGCTGCTGGCCGGACACCCAGCTCTGAAGGCAGAGCCACCACCGGCAGCAATGCAGAAGTAAGGGTGGCATGGTATGGTATTGCCACCTTTACTTCTATGCTGCCACTGGCAGCTGCACTGCATTCAGAGCTGGGCAGCTGGAGAGCTGGATGACAATACCGTGATCCCCCTACAATAGCCTTGCAACCCCCTTTGGGGTTTGAACCCCTGTTTGAGAAACTCTGCTATCGGGAAAAGTACACAAAAAGACCAGATTTCACAGGGGAGACCAGAATTCACAATCCCTGATGCATTTTTCACGGCCGTGAATTTGGTAGGGCTCTAGCTATGACCGTGAAATTTATGAAAATGGACCATGAATTTGGTAGGGCCATGTTTATAATACTTTATAAAATTCTGAACTATTAAATTGCCATTCCCATTCCTTTGTTTACATTTGTAACCTTATTGCATTAATATAACTTTTGCATTTAATTTCCTTTGTTTGATTGTTTTTATTTTCAGAGACAGAAAGAAAAAAGGGGGAAGAGAGGGAATGAGAGAAAACAACACAAGCTATAGTACTTCACAGTTGCACAGACCTACATTGAGCCTTTAGACGCAGCCCTTAATCAGGAAGGTGGGGATGCACAGCTGCATCACCCAGGAGGAGCACCAGGCAGGAATTGTGCCTGAGAGAATCTCATTTTCTTCTTTACTTTCCACCTGCTTGCTCTGGGAGGGCTAAGTACTTTATTGCAGCCCTAAAAAGATGCATTTTATTTCGTCCCTTGCACCCAGCTACCTCTGCTAACCGGTGTCCTGGGTGAACCCACTCATTTCACCTCTTCCCCACCCACTTTCTTGCTGGTTGAAATGGTGCCAGGGACTGCATTCTGCATGGGAATTGAAGCCTTGATCTAGGTAGCTCTCATGTGGCTGTACAAGGAGGCATCAGTTACTTCTTCTCATTCTATTGTACTGTCACAATAGGGCTAATGACAACCTAGACCACTGTTTTTTGTGCAATTCCAGTGTACTGTAACTAACTATGCCACATAAAATTTAATTTAAAAAAGGTTATTGTGCGTGCATAAAGCCATTTTTAAATCACATAAAACTTTGCAATTACTCTTTTCCAGA